AATCAATTGTATATAAGAAGTGGGCTTTACCACTATGTAAGTCAAGTGGTTCATGGGAATAGAGAGTGTTTTTCTTCTCAACAGATAAGTAAAATGCTCAGGCAAATTAATGAGAGCTTAGTTTTGGTCCATGCAGAAGGCCTTAATAAAAAAGAATCCAAGAAAGGATAGGCTGGTTTTAGATAGGGCTTCATGACTGAATCAAGCAAAGGCAGACGTGATCATGCACAAGACAAGATTAGTAGGCAGTTTGGTTGATATGCTGGGCTTGAGAAATACCAAAGAGGGAATAGGGGATAGGATCAGACACAGAGCTAATGTATCAACCTCAGTGGGTCTTGTTGCTCAATATTTTGCAGACCTAGCCCTGGGGCTATAGTTCCTGCATTAAGGGACTGGACTAGGTTTGGGAGAATCCCAATCCATGGAGCCTATAGCTGAAGCCCCATCCCCCTCCCTTGCCCTCAATGATCCTTGCAGTACATACTAGAGGGCAGTGCCACCTCTTGTAGGAGAAGTGAAGTCCTCTGTTTTGAGTTGCTATCTTTCTTGGAAACTTCCCTTAGGCCTTGCCTCTCTAGAATTCTTTTTTTTTTTTTTTTTGCCTCTCTAGAATTGTTAAAAGCTCAGCTTTTGACTAAGACCTAGCCACAAATGGAGGATATTTCATGTCTCCTCCTCTGCCATGTCTAGAAAAAGGAATTAGAAACTCTGATCAAGGAAGCTGAAAGGAAGCTTCAGCCTTTTCTGCATGCTCTTGAACAGCTTTAGCATAGTAAATAGACAACTTGAGGCTGAGAGAGGTTAAGCTTCTGTGAACAGTCCGAGGGTGTTTTGACTGAAAGTGGAGGGGAAACTGCCGGGAAGAGCTTTTGACTTTAAGCTTAGATTCAGGGTAAGTTGATAATAGAGAAATTAAATATGAGTGAGAAAGGAATCAAATTATTCACTAGGCATTTTTTTTAAAGTCTTGTTCTAAAGAATTAACTGCTTTACTGGCTGATATGTTTGGGTTCAGCTCTTTTAATAAAGAGATTTATTTTTATAATAAAAGGGAGGGAAAGCTTACTTAACTATTTTAAGCATGTCTGTGACTTAAGTCTTATTGTTTTGGTCCATGTGACTGTGGCAAGCCATTGCCAATAACCCCTTGAAAGTAGAATCTGGAAAACTAAAAGCACAAAGTAAAAACAAATGTTCAAAGGGATCTATTTTAGGCCAGGGTAGGAACTTGAAAGGCAGAGTGGGCAGGAGAAGGGAGAAAAAGAACAAAATTTAAAAGGAATTGCCCAATTCACTCCACTACTTCTGTATCTTTTATCCTGACAATATCTCTTACCTCTCTTCCGTCAAGTTCAGAATATAATCCTGAGGCCCAGTGAGCTACTCGCCTATCTAGCAAGGACAATTGAATTATGTTGCTTAGATTCTCCTTACTTAGATAGGAAAAGAGACCATGACAGTTGTGGAAAGATTTGAATAGTAAGCAATAAGAAAACAAAGGAACTTCTTCTTAGCCTTCAATTATCCAAACAACACAATTAACCAGACTCTTCTCCTCCCCCCTATTTCCTATGCATTCCAGTCAACTAAGGTCATAGTGGACTGGGATTCAGATGTATGTTTGCTGGAAGGTTTGGTTTTTTTTTCCTGGCACTAATCTCATAGTATCTGAGTTATAAATTATACTCATTAAATACTTTCTAGAGATTCAAACGAAATGAAAAAGAAACAAAGTGCCTCCTACTTTTTCCTGTGAAAATAGAGACCTTCTTATCTTAGTCCAAGTTGGGCCTGCTATTTGGGAATGACTAAACTTGGAGGTGGTTCTCTACCCTTTCTTAGGATTCACATCCATTGCATTTTACATTCAAATGGCCTTTTTGGTGATGGCTATGTAATGAACAAAACTTATTAAAGTTACTTCCCAGGGGCTCCCTTACACAAGAATTAGGCTTGAATAACCCTGTAGACTGGTCATCCTCAGAGGTATAGTCATTCACTAACTTCTTGCCCAGGCAAAACAATTTGTTGAACTGGAGCGTGGTTTTCCATTGCCTCACCAAAAGATTCCAATCTCACAGCCCTTCACTCGTGGGTGGGAGAAGGAGAACACAGTAAGTATACCTTCTCCATCCTAGCCTTTCACAGGATTTCATTATGAATGATTCCAAGCCACACAACACTGCTCTACACGAAGAGCTTGCAAATTGCTAAACCTTCCTAGATCACTGAACAAATAAACATTATATTTGTCAGGTTTTCATAGCTAAATGTTGCTATTTATAAGGGTTTTTTTTTTTACAAATTTAACAAAAAAAGGGGCATGTTAATAAATAAGTAATCCTCAACTTACTAATGAGATGTGTCCTAAACATTTATAAGTCAATGATTTGGAACTTGGAGTGCTCTGTTCCATAGAAACTGTGTTCATATATATATATATATATATGTAGTGGTCAGGTTTCTAGGCCAGTCCTCAAAGGCTGATTTAACCCACATGGAGCAGTTATATTAAAGCTCTGGCAGGAGTCCTAGGTCCTGAGAGCAGAAGGAAAAGCATGCTTTCTTCCTATTCTTTACGTCCAAAGAAAACCCAGAGCAAAGGTTTAAAAGTGGGGGATTCTAAAATGACTTTTCCACTCCCATACTTGTTTTCACCCTTCTCCCATCTCCCAGGGATCTGTTACTCTTGTGTTGTCCAAAGACCTCCACTATGATCTTCCATCTGTCATAAGTGCCAAAATTCCTCATTTCTCCTGGTCCCAACCAACATGAAACCTCCAAGTGCTCCTGAACACCTAGCTCAATTCACCTTCACTCTCATATAAGGGATCCATCACCCCTTACCCTCCAAAAGGTACATCTATGATTGAAAGGCTCATCAACCCCAAATAGCCCAGCTGGTGAAATTCTAGGGAAAGTGACTAGATGAAGTGGTAACTTTTAGGAAGGTTTGGACAGTGGTAGGTATTTGGGGACATGAAGAAGAAACTGCTTGGGAGATAGCAGGGCTCTGCCTGAGAGGCAGCCACAGCAGTCAGTTCACCAGAACTGTGCTCCTTTCACATTATCTTTCTTTCCTCCCTGTCCAACCCCAGAGGTCTCTCTGAATGTTTCAGATTTTCCCCTAACAACTTCCATGATGACAACAACAGGTGAGAGGCATTCATTGGTATCGTGGGTCTTCTGTACAATGGTCCATCTCACTAGCAGTCAGCCTGCAAATTCAGATAGAGTGGGAAACATTGTGGAATAGGTGGTGTTACTAGATGACATCAACATAGGACATTTAATGAAAGAAGTGAAATGTCTGAGAGCTCTTGGATTTGGGTCAAGCCTTCTGATATTTGTCAAGGGTGCTCTTCTTGAGGATATTTGTTATTTGCACAGTCTGCCAAGGCCACTGTGGTCAATTAACATTTTATTAAAGCATAAGTGCTAACGAGGCCAAGATCAGAGGTCAAATCCATTTTGGGGCCAATTGGCTTCAAACTGTCCCAAATACTCACAGCCCACAGAAACATGCCCTCTGTCAAGGGGGTGCAGATGAGTGAGTATAAATGGCCTAAGCCACTTCCATCTGTAGGGCTGGGAAAGCATTACAATACACACAGTCAGTGATGGTGAGTCAGCTGCAGTGTCCTCTACAAACTCCAACACATTCTTAGGAATGGATAGGTTCTCACACAGTGCCTGCAATGTCTATGCCACCCCACTAAAGGGAAAACCCTTCAAGAGCTTCCAAGACCTTTCTTGTTGTGAAAGAAAGATAAAGAAAGAGACTGACTGTGTGTCTATGTGTGTCTGTGTGTTTCCTTCCCCTGGGAAAGAGCATTCCTGGAAATTAGGTGAATGTGCATCTCAGCTGCTTAATCTGCTTGTATTGACCAATAGGAAGAAACAGAGTTAAGTCCCAGGTGGCAGGATGGCAGAGGGTGGTACAGGGGACTGCAGGGGAGCCACATACTCAGTACTGAAGACTTTCAGAAGCATAAATATTATGACTTACAGAGGGTACCTGTGATAGCTGCAGAAATGAAGATACACTGGGTTTCCTTAGGGAAAAAAAACACTCATAGAGAGCTGACAAAGTCAACAGAAGCTAATGGGAAAACAAGAAGTATGTTTTATGCATTTGATAGTTGCTGCTAGAACTGTGATTATTCTGAAACATGCTAAAAAAACAAGGGAGCAAAAGTGTGTGGAGAAGTCATAATGTTTACTTCATAATCTCGTGATTTCTGAGGATATGTGGAGGGAACAATGGGTCTTAGGGTCAAAGTCTCCATAAAAGAAAAAATTAGAAAGCAAGATAGAGATGAGATACTGACAGGAGCCCCAGAAAGCAATGGATTCCTCAGAGATAAATACATGGGGAGAATTCTTGATAATCAGGATGTTGGTGCTGCTTCAGAATCATACCATTCTAGTAGGAAGAGGAGCGATGGGGAAATTTGTCCTGAATTCAAGCCAGGCAGTCAAGGAGTAAAAAAAATCTTATTTTGGTTGACAGTGCCAACCTCAGAAGGGATCAAACAGTGCCTCCAGAGGAAATGACATAACATCCCTCCAAGATGGTCTTGTCAATGGATCCTGGGAAAAAGGGGTCATCACAATATTGCTGTATTGTTCAGATAGATGTGAATCTCCAAAGATGTGATGTGGCTCATCATGTGGTCCTGGTATTTGACAATGAAACAGAAAGGTGCACCTGTTTGATAACTGCATGACAAGGCCAGCATTGTTAACATTCAAATGTGTTATCAGTGCAGGAGGCAACAGTCTTTCAGGCCAGGGCAGCTGACCTCCCTCAAATGTAGCTTGGTCTGCAACAGGCCTCCCCACAGGGTTTTTGCTCAACTCAGTGGAGATTGGAAATTCACCAACTTCATCACACTCTGCCAACAGAGTGTAGGCTGAGACTGGCACCCAAGCCAAAGGGAGCCCTCTGAGAATTTGGCAAACTCCAGTGTTCTGTTTTCCTGCTGGCCATTACCTTATGGCTTGTTTCTCACCAGTTGCCTTTCTGCTTTTCTTCTTTGGAAGGCTGAAATCTCTATTGGTTGTAAGCCATGGCCCACTTGCCTGTGAGACAGGAGAGACACAAAAATAGTGAAGACAGTGGAACATAGTGGGGCATAGGAAGACTCTAATTGTGTACTTACCCATCTTTGCCCACTGGTGGGGGCACAAGAAGGAGCTTTTTAAAGCCTTTTTTTTCCAACCAGCCAGAAGGTCTCTTCTGTGCCTTTGCCCTTATTATAGAAAATACAAAAAATCTTAAATGTGCTATAACCAGCTTTCCCAAAGATGTGCTTCTGATCAACAGTGTATAAGCATTCAGTTTGGCTCAGAAATTGCCTCTGCTTTCCCCTTGTCACCACTCCCTGGAGTCTTCCTTCCTACACAGCTTCCTTGCTATATATACCTGACAAGCTCCATAAGCTGACACAGTAGACAGACAAAATCTGAACACCATTTGGGGGAACTTGGGTGCCTCAGTCAGTTAAGCATCCAACTCTTGATTTCAGCTTAGGTCATAATCTCAGGGTCATGAAATGGAGCCCTGCCTTTGGCTCCATGCTGAACATGGAGCCTGCTTAAGAGTCTCTCTCTACTCTTCTCACACCACCCCTCCCCCTTCTCTAAAAAAAAAAAAGAAAGAAAGAAAGAGAAAGAAAAGTGAACACCATTTGAAGCTGCCATCCAAATGTTTTGTCTACACACTGCCACACAGCTCCATTGCTGAGCACGTGTGGTTGTTTGGCTTCATAGTAACCAAACATCTGGATGCTGAATTCAAGAATTTGTTTGTCATCTTTGCTTTGATCTTTTGACCATAGGCATCCCATTGTCTTTCCTGTCTAGAGTACATATATTCAGAATCTACCTCCCCCAATACTTGCCATCCAAAGGCTCTCCCAGAAACCAAAAATTGGAATAGAAATGGAAAGCAGGCTATACAACTTTAAAGGCCAGGGCATCTTGGCTGCTTAGAGAGGTCTGCATTTCTGCAGTGTTCTTTTCTTCCTGCCAAGGGATTCTCACGGGTAGAGAGAGACAACATGTAGGCCTCCATCTACAGCCTGGTTCCTTGGTTGTGAAGAATTATGGTCTGAGAAGAAAAAGGGAGTGTAAACTCGAGCTAGTCACCCCAGGGCCTAAGTGACTACCTCAGAGGAGCCAAGTTTTCTGCCTCAGCTTTGCCCTCCCCTTTTTCTAATAAACCCTCCTCTCAATGTGTTTCACTCTCCTTTCAATTTTCTTTCATCTGTTCTTTCATTTCCTCCAATCCATAGGAAAAAAGTGTGTTTACTAAAACTGAGAAAAGTAATGGGATGTGTTTCCAACTCATTAATCTGAAATATGGTCTCACTCTTGGCTGATCTCATTTGGAACAGTTCTAAATTGTTTAACTTAGAAATTCCAGTTAGGTTCCCCCCCCTTTAAATATCAAATCCATTGTTTTTTATTTTACATCACATACATTCATCCCTTAACAGTAATGACCACAACCAATAATCACATTTAGTGGAAGAATCTCAAAGCATTTTTCAGGTATTTGGTTCAAGGCTCTGAACAAGCCCACCATAGGCAAGTACGAAGAGAATACCACAACAACTCAATCTTCACTAGCTGACAACCAATTCACCCTAAAACTCAAATAATTGGACTGTTTGGAGCCACTCTGTTTTCAGAAGAAGTGAACAACTTTAAAATATACTCATATCACTCATTCTTACATTTATTCTACCCTCACTGTACCAGGTGTGGAAATACAGAAATGGCTCTGTCCTTCAGGAGCTCACAGTGCAGTTAAATAAAAACACGGTCGGGTCACGTTTGGGGCTTTAAATACAAACCCAAATTTTCTGCCTCCTAAACTCTGTTCCTCACAGTACCTAGTGCAGTGTCTCATATAGAATAGTTGCTCAGTAGATAGACTGTTTCATTCACTAGAAAACTCAACGCTTGAGCAATTGGAATACTCAAGGTGTCATTGGACCTCACTTTGCTAAAGCATTCTCTTAAGGCTCAAACTTGAGGATCTCAACCCTCAGGCGTATTTGGGTGTTTATCTTGAAATCAAGAGGCTATTGAGACAGTGTGCCAATACCCAAGGGAGCTTTGTGGATGCCAGGATTGTCCAGATATCTGGGTGAGTCCTGGGACACAACACTGGGATGCCAAAACTAATGGTTGCAAAAGAGAATGGGAGTGTTATGGACTCAGACAAGCTTCCAAATCAAACAGTATGCAGGGGAGCCCCAGGGGTTCTCTGAGGTTTTGGAGCCTATCCAGAATTCTTAAAATCCTAGATCTCTGTTTATCCACCCTATTTCCAAAATTCTGTTGAAGAGAGAGAAAGTGGGGGAGAGCAAGTATGCAACAACTAAAACCTAAAGCAAACCCCTTGACTTGGTATCAATCCCTGAGCAGTCCCAGAGGACCACCCCCCCAAATAATAGTATCTTACTTTGGTCTGACACTTTTAAGACACTTTGGCATCTCCTGTCTTTTTTAATTCTCACAAAAACTCTGGAAGGTGAGTTTATTATTAACCTCATTCTGCAAATAGGGATACTAAGTTTCATGGAAATTAAATGACTTGTCAATAAGCAAGCATAGCTGAAACCCGAACCCAATTTTACCAAACTCCAGGTTTTATTTATTTTCTTTTTACTACAACTTAGCTATTTTTTTATTGAGGTATAACTGACATACAATACTAGTTTCAGCTGTACAATATAATGATTTGATATGTATATATATTAAAAATGCTCATCACAGTAAGTCTAGTAAACATCTTAGACTCCAAATTTTAAATGCTCTTCCTTCTATACCACATAGCTTTTCCAACACACTGGAGTCAAGGGAAGGTCTAGAGGCCAAAATGCAATGGCTTGGAATTTTAAATCTTGTGATTAATGAGCTTCCTGATAATCACGGGTCAGAAGAGGACTCTATGTGAAGAAATGAAAGCACAGAGAGGATAAAGTTACTTGTCCAGTGTTACACATTAAGTCACTGATGGGACAAGTATTACAGACCAGACCTCTGACCTTCATGACTATGCCAATAAAACCTCATTACTTCTTTCTCTTTTTTCTTTTTTTTGTTTTTGGGGGGGGGGGGTGGGGAGGGGCAGAGTGAGAGTGAAAGAAAGAATCTTAAACAGGCTCCACACCCAGAACAGACCCAAACAGGGCTTGATCTCGAAACCTTGAGATCATGACCTGAGCCAAAATCAAGAGTCAGATACTTAACTGACTGAGCCACCCAGGTGCCCCCAACCTCATTACTTCTTAGCTCAAATGCTGGTGTGTGTGTGTGTGTGTGTGTGTGTCCACGTGTGTGTGCACACACTTACACATGTCCAAACTTCTGTATGTGAGTGCAAGGGGTTGAGGATGGGGTGGAAGAGGTTGGGGGAATAAAGAGAAATCACAAATAAAACAGGATTACTGCTTAAGGGCCTGAGAATCAAACACTATTTATCCCCAGAATGTTACAAGTGTCCACCCTGCAAGGACATAAACTGGCTGAGAACAATCATTTGGGAAAGTCTTCTCAGAATGTAAATTTACCTAAAGAGGTCTTAGTAAATATAACCGATAAGCCTAGATATATACAAAGTCTCAGCAAGAAGCTTCAAACTTGTCAGAAAAACAGTAACTGAAATAGGACTCATGTAAGAGAAGAGGTAATAAGATGACTTATCACCAGGCCATTAGGAGAGAAATTTTGAAAAAAGCAGACTTGGCCAGTTAAGCCCTGATGATTTGTTGCCAGTACAATACAAGAGGGGGTTGGAGTGGGCCGTAGGCCAACTCCCCATAGAGGCTGAGCTTGTCACCTCTAAATGACTCCTCCCCCAATCTACCTCAGCTTCCTCAGTTTGATGTCTTTCTTTGTTAACCCCACCCGCCTAATTATTCAACTGCACTATGTTCTCTTCTCTCACCCAACCCAATCCACACTTTTGATTCCACTAGGGGAAACAACTTAAAGTGTCATCATTGCAGTGAAGGAGATGGAGTGGGAAAAGAGTGTTGTTACTGGATCCAATCCTTGAACCCAAGAGAAGAGGTTCTGATGTAGGAATTTCAAATATCAGCCAGCTGGAAGGAGAGGATGTTTTCAACCATCCTCTTTGCTATCACACCTGGCAGGCTATCAAATGTGGTCCTTCTGACCCATGTACTAAAGCCATTCTTGCTTTCCAGCAACACAGAGTGAATGAGGAATGGAAATGTTGGATCAGAATTTCTGAAGTGTGCTGGTAATATGGTCATATTGGGGATATATTGCATGCCCCAAGTGACAAGGAATCTCCTGTCCCCCAGTCCCTACTATGTAATGTCCAATACCTATCTCTGGTATTGCAGACAGCAGGGGGTACAGAGACAGAAAGGATCTCCCATTTTCTCCCTTCCTTCTTTGGGACTTCCTATTCTCTTCTTCACATTGCCCCTCCCTCTCCCCTGGGGCCCCCTCTCTTCTCTCTCAGTATCGCCCTTTTATCAGGGAGCCTCTAACACCTCAACAAGCAAGGCCTGACACGGCCTTAGGGAAAAACTTTCCTTGCCTTTTCCTCCACCTTGCTGTATCAGGTTCCCAAATTCCCTGGGGTAAGGGAAACTGTGAAGTTTCAAAGGGCCCTTCTGAAGTAGTCCTGCTTTTATACTCAAAACGCCCAAAGATATGATTCTTCCTTAGAATTTGGGGGCAATAAAAGCCATGGGGGTTGGGGGCATATTTTTCCTTTTCAGTTTCAAAAGTGTCACCTCTTCAGCTTTTAAGTGACGGAATCTGTGCCCAGCAATCCAGAGAGGAAAGTGCCTTGGGAAATAAAGCCACCTTTGTCGTCCTCTGATAAGAAATGTGAATATATAGAGGAATCACAAAAGCCTTGAGGAATGTGATTCACTGTTCAAGTAATGTTGCCGCTTCTATCATCTCACTGAGTTCTCTGCAGAGGTGAGAAAAGAACCTCTGCCCCCTCATAAATGACTCATCCCATCTTCTAGAAGATATTCAAATCTATTGGAAGAGACAAACCAGAACTAGCCAGAAAAGGAACTGATCAATTAGAATCAAGCCTTCCAAACTTTAACTTCTGAAATCCTTTTACATGTAAATTGCCACCATCCGAGGAAGGCTTGCCAATGACAGAAACATATTGTGCATCATTCAGCACCTGGGTTTTGCTTTGCCGAAGTATAATCACTGCGAAAATAATTTTCATGCACAATGGTACCATTGAAAGGATACTGAGTGGGAAGTCAGACTTCCCTGGGTTTTGGCTTATTCTTATTGACTGTGTGACCCTGATCAAGTTACTTCACCTCTCTGGGCTTTGGTTCTTTGTCTAAAAATGAAAAAGTTAGGGGCGCCTGGGTGGCTCAGTGGGTTAAATCCTCTGCCTTCAGCTCAGGTCATGATCTCAGGGTCCTGGGATCGAGCCCCACATCGGGCTCTCTGCTCAGCGGGGAGCCTGCTTCCTCCTCTCTCTCTGCCTGCCTCTCTGCCAACTTGTGATCTCTGTCAAATAAATAAATAAAATCTTTAAAAAAAAATGAAAAAGTTAGATGATCGACTCTCTAGAGCCTCTTACAAATGGGGAAGCTAGGGGCTCTGGGGCTACCTAGAGGAAGATGAAAAGAATCCAGTGGAGATGGCAAAAAAGAAAGAAAGAAAAGGTAAAATTACTCTAATCCTGAATCCCAGATCAATCGTCCTAACAGAGAGAAAAGGTGCTTCAAAATGTTTGTCTTTCACGGGAACTGACTTTATTCCTCCTGGTCCTTCAGGGAAGACATAAAGCCTCTCTGTAAATGGGAGGGGGTCAATTGTGTGCATGAAAAATTAGAAAGGTGGCCACTGAGCAGGCAAATAGAAAACCCAAACTCACTAATACTTTAATTTATTGAATCATGTCTGAATTTCAGCCAAAGAGTAAACAAAGTTTACTTTGTTAGAAGATATAAATAATAGTGCAGTTCACTGAAAACCCAAATTCTGGGTTATCCTTTAAGAGAGAAAGATGCAGCTCATAGTCTGAAAAACCCAGGAGTTGTAACACTCCTCCTCATCGTGGCCATATTTTAAAGAGAAGAAAACTGAAGCAAAAAGGAATAATCTCTTGGGAACCGCAAATATGGCTGGAAATTCTGCCCAAATTATAGCTCTAAGTCTCAGACATCCAGGTAAACTCTTTCAGCAGACCATGACCTCTCTAGAAGCAGGTGTGTTCAAGTGGTTTGATTTAAACAAACAAACAAAAAAAGGATATTATACCCTGAGCGCTGTCCTTCCTCGAAGCTCTGCTTCATAGCCCTCACTCAGAGCTCAAAGAATTGTCACGGTGCTGTGACTGACATGAATGCAGTAAGCTGTAAAAGAAAGACAGATGTGACTGGATCCTTCCAGGTAAAATCAATGAGAAAATATTAATGTAATAGATGGCCCCACTCCTAAATGAACGAGACCCTAAGAAAAGTCCCTGAGAGAGAACTTCAGTTAGGATTTCAAAGGAGGAGGAACAGGGAATGGTGGCCTTCCTCACCAGGCCCAAATAAGGTGTTAGCTATAGCACCTATCAGCCTCCTAGACACTATCCCAGATGAAAGGCCATGCAACAGAAAGGTGTTAATTTAACTCTAAGGTTGTGATTGAGAAACAAGCTACCACTACTGTGCTCTCAGCTGAAATGTGACCTCCTCAGAGGCAAGTTAGGTGTCAGCAGCTTCTTCTCTGCTAAAGCAGAGCTTCCAAGGTCTACATACCCTACTTAAGAGACAGCAGGGTATCTTTTTACATACGCATCCATACAACCATGTTACAGTATTGCTGCACTTAAAATAGAACATCAATAAAAAAAAAGTCCCAAGACCTTGGTCAACATTCTGTGACAATTGTACATTTATAGATTTCCTGTGGGTAGACGCATCTATATGTATATACACACAAATGTATTATTTTCCAACTAATGAGCCCAACCCGGATAAGAGTGTTACATGGAAAACTATGACTAAAAATTTTATGTAGCAACTAAGTGTAACTCTTTGGTGAAGAGCAGTCACTTATTATTAACTCAGGTAGAATCCTTGACTTTCTCAAAAACTGTTATCTTATGAAGTAAGACCTGTTCAAGTTGAGTCTTAAATAAGAGTCCAAGACTTGTTCCCACACACACTTGAGAAAATAATTCTTTTAGAAGCTGAAAATAATCAAAGTAGGAAGGCACGGCTGGAAAGAACTGCAAGAAATTTCTGCTGTGTTCTCATAATAACTTTCACATAATAACATAATAACATTTTTCCCAGCTCAGTACTGTTGTTTTTGTCTTCCTTGCTAAGTCATGGTCACCCAAAACCTCTGTTCAAAAAGGGTCCCTAAAAGCTGCATGCTTGTCTAGGTGCCCTTTGTCAGCCCTATGTATACGACTCCACTAGCATCTGGTCGTCAGTCATAATCCTACTCGTGTGGAGCACACAGGTCAAAAGAGAGAGCTCATTCCAATGAACACCCAGGTGTTTTGCAAGGAGAATCAGTCCCGCACTAGGTCACTAGTTACTTCCTTTCCAGAATCAGTGAATTCAACTGGGCATAATGGTGATACTGATGAAATTAATTTTTAGTAGACCTCTGACATGTCCTGGTCTCATATCCAACATGAGGCTATCTCTTTACAAATCTTCAATCAGGTGTGGAGCTTAATGCCCTATTTTGGTCACAGTCATTAGTTTCCAGAAAAGCATACTAACCAGCCCCTTTAGTCCTGAGACCACATGTGTTTGCTTCTTTATATCCTTCACAATGCCTTCCTTGCATAGTCAGTGCTTAATAAACACCTGCTGTGCATGATTCATTCCATTTTCTTCTTCGTAGCTGCTCACTAGACAAGGTGATACCTAAAACTGAAAATTCTATTTCTGTTTTCAGCTCTATATTTCCAATGTGAAATGGGTGGAGTTTCCCTGGTGCAGACCAGAATATGACTTCAATCTTCTACAAGCTTACATCAGTCCAGAGTGCTGTGCCAAATCTGCATTGCGGTTCCATGATCAGTTTCACTTCATCCTGGGTTGCATTTCAAGAGCAAAGTCATACACATGCAGCAGTTCCTGGATGACTACTTCCATAGCTTCTGCCATGTCTATGGAGTTCGAAGACTTTCCCAGATGTCAGAAAATTTATTCTGACAACAGCTTCTAAGTTCTGTGCTGCCTCCTTAATCATGGCCGCACAGGCTAGATTGACTAAGACTGGACCCATTGTGCAAGCCTGTTTTTGCACATGAGTGGGGTCAGACAGGGCACCACCCACTGTGATATAGGCCACGATAATATCAGAGACTAGTCTGAGTATACTACTGGAGTTTGGGAAGAGCTTGTCTTGCCTAGTAGCTGCTAAAGCCAGGGCTGCTAAGAGCTTAAGTGTTTTTTAAGTAGAAAACCCATGAAAACTGTATATAGAACCTATTATTGTTTTCTATGCTTTCCTATATTAACATAAACAAATTGCTTTGCTCAATCCTGATAAAGGGCAAAGCCTGTTGTGTTTCTGACATTGCCTTGTAGTGGCAGTAAATAACCAAAAAAGAGGTGCCAGCATAGACAGATGGCATGAAGATTTGTACAGTTTTATTCTCAAAGAAGGGGGGAAAGAAATGGTATCTTTGACACCATGCTTGTTTTGATAAAAACTAAAGATTTTATATACAGGCTAATTGGAGTTAATTATTTCAGATTTCCAAGCTCCTTAGGTTGAAGGATTATTGCCAGCTAAATTCAAGAGGACTATTTGATAAAACCAGAACTCCTAGGATCCTAACTAGTTCAGAAAGAGGACTAGAGCAGTAAACAGCAGTCTGATGGGAAGCAGCTGATTCTGGTTGTGTCTCCACAAATTAGTTGAAAAACTAAATATGCCAGTCCCTTACTTTTTCTTTTTTCAACACGACTTCCCCGAACCCACCATGCTAGCCAATTTTTTTTTCTATTCCCAAAGGACATTTTTAGTTGTTTTGATCAAATTGACTGTTTCAGTGTCACTTAGCTACAGCTTCATAGCTAGAACAAGAAGGGTACATATTTAATCCAATATCACCCCCTACTGGCTTATCATTAGAGACCAGGAAATTTGTGTGTAAAATCTTAATCTTAAATTATCTTTCATTTCTTTAAAAAACATTAAAATATTAGGTGTCTTGTTCTCCTTCCCTCTCTAGAAAAATAATCACTTTTCCATCAGTAGGAGATTACCATCCCATCCCATCACAGGTACTCATGTAACCCTGTTGATTCCCTCCGAGAAGCTGTGCTCAAAGTGTCTCCAAACAGGCAGTATCTGGGCATGGTGAGCCCCACCACTCCAGCAACAACTGGCCCTGTAAAATAGCAGTCAGTTGGGATTACAGTCAACAGGTATATATCCAATGCTAATAGAGGAACACTGCCAAGGGAAAGGAATATAGCTGCATAAAAGAACAAAGTTGCCACCAAATAGCTCTGGGAATCTGAAGGAAGCCCTACAGTGAGTAATAAACTCTTTGCCCTACAAGAAAGCAAGTTGATAATGATGCAGGCATGACTGCCCTTCTGATTTACACTCTTGTTCCAAGTCACAGTTATACCCAAGATACTTATATCTGTCAACAGGGACAAATAAGCATAAAAGCCAAACCAGAAAGGCCTAGGCAGGGACTCAGGATCCAAGCATGTTTGTTACAATAAAAAAGAAGTGACCCTTTCTTATGTCTTAGGGTCAGAAGAAGGGATCTCATGGGGTTATTTATTTCCCAGGAGAATTATTACTAAGACAATTGGAAAATCTGAAAAGAAGTAGAATTGGCTTTCAATCATTTGTGTTAGGGGCACGGACAAGCAGCATATATAGATAACCCAAGAATATATTATATTTGCCTTTAGAATGTGTTTTGTTCTTACATTTCAATATGGCTGTTAGGTGTTCAGACAGTGAACATTACTTGCAAAAAACTTCAGCAACCATAATGAAAACCTAATTCAGAAGTATTTAAAAAATTTGGGGTGCCTGGGTGGCTCAGTGGGTTAAAGCCTCTGCCTTAGGCTCAGGTCATGATCCCAGAGTCCTGGGATCAAGCCCCGCATCGAGCCCCACATCGAGCCCCACATCCGGCTCTCTGTTCAGCAGGATGCCTGCTTCCTCCTCTCTCTGCTTGCCTCTCTGCCTACTTGTGATCTCTGTCTCTCAAATAAATTTTAAAAAATCTTAAAAAATTAAAAAAAGAAGTATTTTAAAAATTCTCCACCCTTACTTTTCTGGCCTCTGCTCCCTTTCTATTTGAAATTGTTCATCATTATCTTTTTGCTATTTCCTGGGTTAGAGAAAGTAATTAAGTGTTTTTGCTTCAAGAAGTTCTTCCTTTAATTTATAAGAATAAAAATAAATAAGAACTACAAAACTTATGTTTTTCATTTTAATTCATTTCTTCCCATTCATATGCATTCATTGGACACAGAGCTAGGCACCAAGGGGAATAAAAAAAATGTAACATACTTGATCTCAGTTCTGTAGGAGTTTATAGTCTAATTAAAGAGAAAAGACTATTAAACAGGAAGCAAGTAAGCAACAACCCAAAACAATGTATGGTTGAAATAAGATAAATGGGGGGGGGGCTGCTAAATAGGATCCGGTTCAGTCAAGAAAGGTCCAGTGGAGAAGATGGAATTTAATTTGAATCGTGATGGGTGGGTAAGACTTGAGTAGGAGAAAAGGGACAAGAATCAAATATTTGTGGTTTGAATTTACCATGAAATTTTGGGAAGCTCTCAGAGAAAGCAGTCTGCCTAGTTCAGGGGCTCAGGAAAAACTGGAGACAAGATTGGATATTGGGCTGTACCAGATGGAAGACCTTGTACCACTAGAGAATTTTGAGCAGGGAATTACATGACAAAAATGGTTTTTCCTTTTTTCTTCTCAGATCAGTGTATGGAATGCATTGAACGGGAAGAAAGTAAAATCAGGGAAACCTGTTAGGTAACTGTTGTTTTAATGCAAGCACAAGGTCGTGAGCACTGGGAAGGAGGAGGTGATAGGGAGTGGGTGGGCAGAAAGGGGAGATGAAACAGAGACATCATGAAAGGAGAACCAACAGACTTATTGGCTCTCTGACAACCATGAGGAAATTGGCCTGGGCTTATAATTCATGGAAAAAGATGACTTGAACTTTTAGATATGTTGAATTCAAAATAATGGTGAATCATCTAAGAAAAGTTGTGCTGAAGAAGGTTGAAGATGTGGAACTGAAGCACAAAGGAGAGATGAAGTCTTTTCTTTAAAAGAAAAATGCTGAACATAAGCATTCAGGATGCTAACATGAGTAAGATATGGTTCCTGCCATCAAGAAGCTTATAGTCTAGGGGTACCTGGCCGGCTCAGTTGATAAAGCATGCGGCTCTTAATCTCAGGGTCATGAGTTCAAGCCCCACATTTGACATGAAGCTTACTTAAAATATTTTTTAACTTTTTAAAAAAGATTTTATCTATTTATTTTAGAGAGAGTGAGCACTCACACATGAGTAAACAAGGGGGGAGGGGCAGGAGGAGAGGGAGAGACAATCTCAAGTAGATTCTCTGCTGAGAATCTACTTGATTCTCAGTGCTGATGTGGGGCTCTATCCTGCGACCCTGAGATCATGACTTAAACAAAACCAAGAGTTGGATGCTCAACGAACTGAGCCACCCAGGCACCTTTCCCCAAAAAAAATTTTTAAGAAGCTTATGATCTAATGTAAGGAGATACAAGTAAACACAGATTATGCTGATGACTATGAGAAGGATGGATAGAAAGAAGCAAGAGTGGAAGCAAGGAGATGTTATTGCAGTGATCCAGGCAAAAGATGCTGGTGGCCTAGACTTGAGTTATGAAAGTCAAGTATAGACAAGACAGATTCAAGAAATATTTAAAAGGTAAAATGCTCAAGACTTGGTAAATGGTTGAATGGTGTAAGGGTGAGGGAGGAATCAAGAAGGATGACTCCCAAAACTAACTGGAGTAACTAGGTGAATAGTTGTACCACCAACTGAAATAGAGAATAAACACAGGAAGAAGAGGAAGCTTATGTGGGAAGAAAATAATTCTGTTTTGGGATTGAGTCTGAGGTCCGTGTAGAACATTCAGGTGGAAATTTCAGCAGCAAGTTTGATATAGAAGGCTGAAGCTTAAGGGAGAAAACATATACAGAAGTGGGGATGGAGAGAAGTTTGGGTGGCTCAGTTGGTTAAGCAACTGCCTTCAGCTCAGGTCTTGATCTCAGGGTCCTGGGATAGAGTCCCGCTTCAGTCTTCCCACTCATTGGGGAGCTTTCTTCTCCTTCTCCCTCTGCTGCTCCCCCTGCTTATGCTCTATCACTGTTTCTGTCAAATAAATAAATAAAATCTTAAAAAAAAAAGAAATAGGGCTGGAAGTCATCAGCATACAAGTTGTACTTAAACCATAGATATGAATGAAAGAAAAGTATGTAAGGGGAGGAAAAAAAGTGGATGAAAGACAGAACCTTGAGCATCAATATTTAAGGGATAGACAGAGACAGAAAAGATTATCAGACAATGGTAGAAAATGAAAGCCAGGTTGGAGTGGGTTGAGAAACAAAAATCAAGATCTGAGGAGAGCAATTAGATCACAACTCAGAGCTTTACAAAAAATCGGGTAGCAGCTACAGTTAGAGAGCAGGAGTTTCCAAGACAGCCAGTGAATGAAAGGAGAAAAAGCATTCAGAGTGAGGAGCATATCATAAAAGCCAGTTGAGGGAAGTTTTAGGCATAAAGTTATCAGGGGCACTCTACCCTTTTTCTAGTCTTCCCCTGAGGCACATAGGAAATGTTGGCTCTAACAAGAAAGGTAGATTGAAAGGGATTGGTACCTAGAACAAGTACTTCTGCCCAATGGGGTAGTACAGGTGTTGGGAAGAGAGTAAAACTTGGGTAGGCATAAAGAAATTAGGCACCATTAGACACCTGGATAATCCAACTGCCAGTAATCAGGGGAGCACCACCCTCTCCGACCTTTTCTAATCTTCTCTTGAGGTGCATGGGAATGTCTTTTCTTCCTGTAGCTGGTTGTTGTTACCTGAATGCAGGCCTATTCGAATCTGGACTAGCACCTCTGGCATGTGTCTCATCTTAAAGGTCCCCATGGAGCTCAGGATATCTAGGGACATGTTTGCAATCTCAACTGCATGCCGACTACCATTCCTCTTTGGGAGGCCTGAGGCCACCATGTAAGCATCTCCAATGGTCAATACTTGGGAATCACGGGAAATAGAATGAGCAGACAAATTGTGTGTGTATGTGTGTGTGTGTGTGAGACAGAGAGAGAGAGAAAGAGAGAGAGAGGAGGAAGGCTTATTTCTTGTAAAGTGAGGAAGATGGTGAGAGACTGTCAGAGATTCAAGGTCTGGCTGCATATTAGAATCATTTAAGGAGCTTTATGAAAAAAAAATTGATGTCTAGGTCCCACACCCATAGATTCTGAAATAAGCAACTTTGCAGTTTCTTGGCTGGCCCTAGAGAACTATCAGGCCCCAAGTAGTTCCTGGGGGAAGGAAAAGAGGAGATTTGTAGGAATATCCATGGATACCCATGGAAGAGTACCCTAGGAGAAGGTACATATAATATTCCTCTAGCAAGTATTTCTCTAGAAGATTTCAGGTAAATGAGCTAGCAGCCTTAAGACAAGTATAGAGAAAGGGAAAGGAAGGAGGTGGAAGAGACTGTTCCTTCTGCTTTGCATTGTTAATATGATGAAGTTAGTTTTGTAGTCCCTTGGGTGTGAGAACTGAGTCTTTTTTCCACCAGCTACCCCCTCCTCTCCTAGTGCCACTTGTCAAAGGACAGAAGAACCCGCCCTCAGCTGCTTTAAGCTGGACACCTGTAAGGAAAGGCAAATCTGTATTCCTCATCTTCCCAAAAGAAGTGTGCTCACTTTTTTAGGTGACTAGTAAGTAGAAGCTTTTCAAGTAAATCCAAAAGATAAGTCTACTGGAAGGACTTCCATGAAATGTGCCAGTCTGACTCTGCTAGGACAAGTTTGGATCCAATTAAAATCCATGTTCTTCTAGAGAACTGCACTCACAAGTGCAATAGTTAAGACCACGAAACTCTGATGTCACACTGCCTTGGTCAGAATTCCAGATGTACCATTTACAAACTGTGTGGCCTTGCCAAGTCACTTAACTTCTCTATGCTTTAGTATCCTTATTTGCAAAACAGGGATAATAAGAGTATCTGCCTTATGGAGTTTTCTAAGGACTAAATAACTTAACATATGCCACAGCACTTAAAACCTGCCTGGTGGATAAGTGCAAGCTATCATAATCATCATTACCATCATCAAACTAATATGTCTTAACATAAGTCATGGGATGATGGCTATGACTCAGCTCCAGAGAAAGTTCAGTAATCAGCAATAGGCCTCTCATCTTGACTTTCTGTATAGCCAGTAACAATGATACTTTGAATACACAAGACTTTGTACCTCACCATGCTTCCATCCAGGGCCTCCCTTTCCTTGTACAATTGGAGAAAGGGATCCCTGTCCTCAAATAAATATGCCAGCCTGCACAGAGGAAGGGAACAGGTACAATCCAAATGTTATATGGGAGGGAGAGACTCACTTACTTGCTGGCCATTATCAAAGAATAGTGGTTGACTCTTCCCCGAAATGAGTCAGTCACTCAGGAGTCCCTACACACATGGATGAGGAGAATAGAAGGGCAGGGAGCATGGGCAGTGCCTAGCCTTGGTGAAAGACTGTTGTGGGGGACTGCAGGGGGGCATGAGCCAGCAGGAGGACACAGAAAGGACAGGAGAGGTATAGAACAGGGGCTGGTTGAGATGGGTGGTGGCAGGAGAACAGAAACTGAAAACAAATCACCAGCTTTGTAATTTTGCAGTAACCTTCTCACTTCCATTTGATTATCAAGTGCTGGGGAGGTGATTTCAATTTTACAGGTAAAGAAAATGAAAATACAAACGGGTTTGGTGACTCACTGCTGGTTCAATTTTATTTCCTTTGCCCTGTTGCTTTTAATAAACAGGACTGAAAAATTAGATTTCATTTTTGGATTTGGAGAGCCCCACTCTACCCTGGAAACAGCCCACGAACTCCTTACTGCAGCCATGAAGTACCAAAATGTCTTATGGCCTCATCCCTAAGACTTCAGACAATTGTCTGAAGAGTATCAGCTGCATTGATTAAACCAGTGGCTGTGTTACTGCCCACGCTGAATCATCTTTGATTTTAGTTTCAAATGAATTAGCTTTCGGTGATTTGTTTTCCTCTTCAGGCTGCTTGAGTTCAACAAGCTAAGACAGGTAGTCTGGTTCTATGGATTTTTCCTCCACTGTGGCTTCCATGTGTGCTTCTTGATAAGTTTGCAGCTCCGGTTGATTGACAGGTATGATATCTATTTCTGAGCCCTATTTAGATGGCTTAGCCTATCCCTGAGGCTCTCTACCTGACCTGAAAGGGCCCTGTCTAATCTGAGATAAACACACTGCCCTGTGTGTGATTTGAGAGTTGGAAAATTTCAGACTACTGTGAAGGATCCAATGAATGGAGGTACTCATTCCCCAGCTCTACCTTGGTTCCTGGGACCGAGGAGCTGTCTAAAGTTTGGGATGCCTGGGGCATGTTTTTCCATCAATAAGACAAGTATCCATGTTTCAGGCAATGTAGAAATGGCCTTGCACAGCTATAAGATTTTTTAGTCATTTTCTGCCTAGAGATAAGACAACATATAAAAATCAAAGGTAGGGAAGCATGGCAACCAAAGGAGTGAACGTAGTCATCTATTCTCTGCTCATCTTCAGCAACCTTGGATAGGAGGAGTGGAAATTGACAGCTAGAGTGGGGGGATGTGGGAGCAGTAGGTTGCAACCTCACACTTTTAATGACTTCCCTAGACCTCAGACCACAAGATGGGCTCATGGTTACCCTATAGCAATCCCTTTGACCTATGTGATGCCAGAGTTCCCTCCTGTATAAAAACGGTACTTAGGGGAACAAACCAAATTTTAACAGCATGTGTTAGATCTACATGAGTTTTACCAAGATGAACTCTGTAGCAGTCACCAGCTATGGGCAAAGTACCAATGCTGCTTCTATTGCCCTTGTATCATATCTAGCATGATACTACCTACACTGTGGTTACTTAGCCACTGAAGTACAATAACCCTTTTGGCTCCAACCTCTTCTTAGTCTCAGTTCTAGAAAACAGCTCAAGAGAAATCTGCCTGGCAATCTCTTGCTCAGTTCATACTGTTATTTTATGAAGTGTGAGATTGTATGCATTCTGCCTGGCCTTCATTTCCAATAAGATACCAATGGAAGTGCTATACTATTTAAATTTTACGTCCTTAATCAGCATTGGAGACAAACCGTGAGTGACTCTTGACTATAGGAAAGAAACTGAGGGTTGCTGGAGGGGAGGTAGGTTGGGGGGAGGGAGTAAATGGGTGTTGGGCATTAAGGAGGGCACATGATGTGGTAAGCACTGGGTATTATATGCAACTGATGAATCACTGAACTCTACATTTGAAACTAAAATAAATAAACACATAAATACATAAATAAACTTTACTTCCTACATAACAGCATTCAGTAAAATTCCACCTTTTAATTTTGGGATTGCGAGACTCATATAAAAATTTCTCTCTAGAATATACTTCTCTGCTCAGTAACTTACCTTGTAGACATCATGACTGCCTATGACAGCATCAAAGAGGGTGTACAGGTCATTGAGAAGATTACCACCTCAATAGGCTCACTCATGGCTGAGATGGTGGTGAAGCCCACAATGTCACTGAAGTACAAGGTGATCAAGTCAAAACCCTCAGGTTCAACCATGTAGCCCTTTTTGAGGGATTTGCAACTGATCAAAAGCAGAGACAGCTATTCCTCAGAGGACACAGGCCTCGCGGCATGCCACACACACATCTGCTAAAACACAATTTCTCCGAAAATCACTGCCAAGTAAATGAGTAGGAAGAAGATGTCATCTGGATGAAAACATTAATTCTTTAATTTAGTCTATAAATATATTTTGAGTGCTTATGACGTGCCAGGTACTCTCTTCGGTGCTGTGTTCCAGCATCTGGCAGACAGCCTTGGTCTGTGTTTTTGTGGAGCTTTTTTTTTTTCTTTAAAGATTTTATTTATTTACTTGACAGAGACAGAGATCACAAGTAGGCAGAGAGTCAGGCAGAGAAAGAGGGGGAAGCAGGCTTCCTGCTTGCTGAGCAGAGCCCGATCCAGGGCTCAATCCAGGGCTTGATCCCAGGACCCCAGTATTATGACCTGAGCCGAAAGCAGAGGCTCAACCCACTGAGCCACCCAGGTGCCCCTTGTGGAGCTTTTCCTCAGCTGTCCCTTCACTCAGGGAACGATCCCAGGTGGTTGCTTTAGATGAGACCAATTTCCCCAATTATCTCCTAAACAATCATGTTACAATATGATCAGGTGTCTCGGAAATTTTGGAAACAGTATCAAAAAGTAAGGCTTTGAACAAGGAAGGAAAACCTAGAAAAACAACTCCGCTACTCTCCTCTAGGACCTCAAAGAACTGACTCTTTTTAATTGGTCAGCTTCTAGGCAAAGTCATGAAGTTACACATAGAAAAACAGAAACACCAAAAACTTAAATGACCAGCATGCTCCACAGGCAGTGGGAAATTAGGAAGGTGTGCTCTACTCCCTTGGTTTCCAATTCATCTTTGATTTGAAGGTGTGGCTCAAACCTACCGGAAGTAGAGAGGGTTCAGGATAGGGGGAAGGAGCAGTTAGTTATGGGTAATTTTTTCTTTCAATTTCTAATAGAACACACTGTTACAAGGATTCACACTCCTCAGGTGTTCACACATACAGTGGTAGCATCTGTGTTAGAAGTTTTTCCGTTTTCTGTTTTTCAATTTCCAGCTCTTCAGTCTGTTCCCGGATCAAATCTTCCAAGTTGCTAGAATATTGCTCCAAAATCCGAAGCATGGAGTCAATGATATTGGTCTTCTTCCCTTTATTCAAAGTTTTAAACTGAAAGTAAAACAGAAAAAGGACCCAGGGGAATTTTTATTCTCCAAACTCAGAGATGATGGAGTAGGACCTCTTATCACAAATTCCTTCCTCTAAAATGCCAGGGCACAAGAAGTAAACTGAGGTATAAATGGAAAAAGTCACCACTCAACCTCACTGTTACCCTGTCCCATTCACAAGGTTCTTTTTCCCTGAATAGCTCTTCCCCCACACTTCTGGCTCTTTGAAGTCTGAGCAAAGGTGTTCTGGGAAGGGTTCTCCAGCTCTCAGATGCTGTCACATGGTAGTAGCCACTTCAAAGGCAACAGGATATTGTCTTGAGCCTAGGTCATTTGTGAGTGGGATGAGGAGAAGAGAGGGCAGGGAGTACTGTTTTACCCTTCTGGGTAATCAACCTATTAAGTCATCCTGACTTCTAATGTCACTGTGTTACCAGTTTTTGGATAGTGGATGGTTCCTTGACCTCTTAAATATGACCCAAGACCTATATGGTAAGATCTACTCCCTATTTCTTACCATCTTACCACGGAGGTCCAGGAATAATGATGTGCTTTAGCACCTGCCCTTCATTTCCATCAGGGTCATGTAGAAATTCAGCTGGTCTTGGCCCATTCTATGCCCTGATGCCACAGGGTGCTGGCTGCATGCCACAGTTTTTTAATGTGCCCTCCTGAGCCCTGTCCATCTACAGAAACAGGGAGCTTGGCATAGCATTGGAATCACGAGGGGGTAATCCCTCCTTGCTGATGTGTTCAGCATGCACAAGGCTGTGTTTACAACAATAAAAGACTGGTGGTAGTTTTGCTGAACAGACATCCAGAAATCTGTCCCAATGAACCTTCTTATGCATCTGGGCCACACATGGTCTCCTTAGCACTCAATCCCCCAAGGCTGATACCAGGAGTTTCCTTCTGAGCCTGATCCACATCTACAGGTCTACCAAGGTCCTGCAGGTAATCTCAGTAGTCTGCTCAGATGTTTAAGGCTCCCCTATTGCCTGACCCTGGGAACCTCCCTCTCCTTCTCAGCCCATTTAAGTTTTATTAGCTGCAGGGAGTTGGCAGGCTATCCTGGTCTTTCAGACAATCTAAACTTCCACCAAAGCATTTCAGTGAAGGCAGCCCCCCCAATGTCCATTTGAAGGCTGTATGATGTACACTCCTTCCATCTATCACCAGCTTCTCTTCTGTCTTCTGAAATAACATCTCTAGTATCAACACAAGGACAAATGCTTTCTCTCTTGCCTCATGGTAGGTTCTCAGAAATGTGACCTTCATGGTCTTTTGCCTTTTCCATACTATTGAATACCTGTTTGAGTGTCCTCAAGAGACCCAGTCAGTCTAATGGAAACATTGTTAGCTGGGGACATGGATGACTTCATACACAGGGCCCCTAAGGCTTTCAATCCACCTCTTTCTTTTTTCCGCCTCAGATACCTGCCACTCAGAAAGCATCTCAGTGCTGTACTCCAGCCAGGCTCGAAAGCCTCTCCACCAGAGCTGACACAGCATTCACAGAGAGTACCCTCAGTTTCATTATCCTATAGTTTCAACAAAGACCTAAGCTGCATGTTCCAATATAAGAACTGCACCCTAGGTACCCTTGGCAGAGCTTTCTCTGTCCTTTCCTCATTTCCCCCTTTCTATCCCCAACTCTAGGAAAAGAATCAGACTCTTTAGAAATTCAGTATCTTAAGGAGAAAGTTTACCATTTTTGTGCAATGTATTGCCTCAAGTAGTTCCCTAGGAACTTAAAAAAATCTCCTGCTTTTGTACTCCCCATTTGCACATTTTTCTGTCATGAGCCTCCTTTCAAAGACCCTATGTCTTTCCTCGCTCCTCAAAACCACCTGGTGTTACTTCAGTGGTATACTCAGTAAAGTTTTCTGGCATCTCCATAGCAAACATAGCCCTACAAGAATTTGTGCCAAGCTGAAATCAAATATGATACTCATCTTTTAACAGTCTCAATGCCATTGCCTTGCAAGTGCCCAGTGGTTCAATTCTATTTCTGAAAGGTTGGTTAGGTCAGATTGTGAATGGTTCAGAATAGAGGTTCATATACAGAAGCACATTCAAATCAACCATTGCACACTTGGAGGATGTGCTAGGGGTGCTCCAGTATCAAAGGCCTCCAAGTAGCCACCCCAATTCTTCCTCCCCAAGAGGAGTGATTTTTTTTTTTCTCTCTCTTGCAGGAGTTTCCTTTTACAATATGATGAAAACTCAAGGAGTTCGTTTGGGGTAGGCTGGCTTTAGGATGCCTTCTGGGCAGTGCTGAGATTCACAGAGTCCTTACCTGATTAAATATTTCATCAAAAGTTGGTTGCTATTCTGAAACTTCAGCCCAGCACTGCTTCATCAGCTGGAGACATTCTGGAGGGGCACACTCAGGAGGAACCATGGGTCTGTACACAGGAAGAGGCTTCTTAACTCTGTCTAAGATTTCTGTCCAGAAGTAAGAAGAGAAAGTTTTATAAATCATAGAAAAAGTGCCAAGATTTGACAAAGATCATTGAGTTTTAGCAAAGAAAGAGGTTTGTCAGGAAAAAAAAAATCACAGGCCATCTCCTTTGCTTTCTCCTTAAGTGGCTTGAATATAAATTGTCTCCGAGCAAAGGAAGTATTGGTCAATTTTAGGTTTTAGGTTTTAGGTTTTAAATGTGGCCTATCTGATGTCAATTTTAACACTATACCCCCAATGATCTGTCTCCCTTCACCCACCCCCAAATCATCTAAACTTTCCAGTCCCCACAGTAGACCCACTTAGCCCTCCCTGAAGGCCCAGACCCAGCCCAGATCCATGCTGTGAGTCCTGCCTGGCCCGTAGGAAAGAGGATTAAGAACTCCAATAAATAGTTCAAGACCTCATCTAGATCCTCCTAACTGCTTGTCCTTGAACTCCACTTTCAGTGGAACATGTACTATGTATCAGACTATGGACTAATGACTTTGAACACATTCTTCCATTAGATTCTCACTACAAACAGATGATGTAAGAATCCTTATTTTTATTTTACAGAAGGTTAAAATGATGAACAGAGAAAGTCACATGGCTAGCAAGTGACAGAATTTGAATTTGACTCCAGGCAGTCTCAATCTACTACATTGTCCCACTTCCAAATACCTCAGACTTCAACCAGGAGTTCCAAAACTCCCTATTCAAATCCAAAAGCCATTAGTGACTGAGAAGTCCAGATCAGGCAGACTAATAGAAAATTCCCAGGAAGTAGGAGAAAATAGTTAACCTTCAATGTCTTCAGCAATCCACACCGGACCTCAAACTGTTCTCTCTGCTTCCAGGCTAGCCTTCTGCAAGCATTCTTAAAACATGAATTTGGAGATGTCATTTTCTTGCTTAAAACCCTTTAATGAATTCTCATAACACACAGGGTAAAATCTATGCCCTATCACTTCAGCTCATTTCTTACCCCTAGCCCCCTCCCCAAAGCCCCAACTCCAACAGGCACCAAACCTTGCTTGCCCCACCAGTGTGCCCTTCCCACTCCTACATTGGATGTAACACTCCAACAGTGCTGCTTTATACCATACAGTAGGCATCCCCTTGCCTCCATGAAAGAAGAGGAGGTTGTTGCCTCTGACTTCTCCGCAATTTGTGACATCACACTTCTGCTCCTTTAACCCAGGTTGGCCTATACTAGTAATGTTTTCTCCATTGCAGTGCAGTTTTCTCCATTGCAGTGCCCACTGCAGTATAATAGATTCCATGTGAGCCAATCCCTTGGAATGTGACTGTCCTCATCCAGTCTCTGGTAAATGGAGTCCTTATCTTTTTACCAGAGCACCATAGAGTTGAATGGGTTATCTCTCTACTTAGGCCCAGTATAATTCATGCCCTTGAGGAGCTTATAGTCCAGTGGAGGAGCTAAACAAGGACAAAGAATATAAGTGTTCTAGCAGACATTCTACACAGGTAAGCACAGAGGGGGCACATGGCCTGCACTGAAGAGGTCAGAGAAGGCTTTCCAGAGGAGGTGACAAAAACTGGATGAGGCAAAGTAGGGAGAAGGCAAGGGCATTCCAGGGACTCTGAACAGCTCTCTTGAAGGCACAGAGGTAAGACCATGGTACTTTTAGTCACGTGGTTTAGCTGGAGTGTAGGGAGTGACAGGAGGTAAGCTCAGAGAGGTGGCTAGAGGCCAGACTGCAAAGAGCCTTGTATGTCATGTGAGGAATTTGGGCTTCGTTTGATAAGTGATGGGAAACAGGAAGTTTTGAGTAGTGGAGTGATATGGGACTCCGAGTGAGGCAAAAGATAGCTAAGTATTTGGGTTTCTTTGTTTTTTTTTGTTCCCATTTTTTAATTTTTTTATTTTGAAATAAATTTAGACTTCCAAAAAAGTTATAGAACTAGTATAATAATTACCTACTCTTCACTCAGCTTCCTCTAATGTTATTAACTTATATAACCATAGCACAAAGGAAATTAATATTGGTACATTACTATCACTATTATATTACTATTCTGGTCCTCATTTTAATTTCATCAGTTTTATTCCCAGTATCTTTTTCTGTCCCACAATCCAATTCAGGATCCCATATTGCATTTAATTATCATGTCTCTATCTCCTTCAACCCATGATGGCTCCTTATTCTGTCCCTGCCTTTCATGACTTTGACATTTTGATGAGAATTGGCTAATTATTTTGCAGAATGTCTCTCATTTGGGGTGTGTCTGATGTTTTCTCCTGGGTAGACTGTTATGCATTTTTTCCAAAAATTCCACAAAGGTGACATTGTGCCCTTTTCAGTGCATCATGTCAGGGGGTACATGATGTCAGTGAGCCTTGATCACTTGGATAAGGTGGTATCTGCAAGATCATCATCCTCTGAGGGCGCCTGGGTAGCTCAGTGGGTTAAGCCTCTGCCTTAGGCTCAGGTCATGATCCCAGGATCCTGGGATCAAGCCTTGCATTGGGCTCTCTGCTCACCAGGGAGCCTGCTTCCCCCTCTTTCTCTGCCTGCCTCTCTGTCTACTTGTGATCTCTCTCAAATAAATAAATAAAATCTTTAAAAAAAAGATCATTCTATGATAGTAAAATTATTTTTCAACTTGTAACTACTAAGTATCTAGTGGGTTCATACACTCAGAATATGCAAATATCCTGTTTCCCCTTGAACTTTTGCCCACTGATTTTACCATTCCTTCATGGATTGTGCCCGACAGGCAATCATTTTGATGAAAGATGAGGATGAAAGCCTATGGCATGTCACAGGGAAAGTATGAAATGACTGTGCCATCCAGGAGCATCATGAGGGGTACTGAAATACCTGGCAGGGACTGTCTCAAAGGAGAGGAGGTTGCTTAAAAAGAGGGGGGTCCAACATAGGTCCTGTAAGTACTTGGCTTACATCATAGTTTGGAAAGGACCAGCTTCCTGAGTTTGGAAACTTCTTCCAAATGCCTAAATCTGTTTGGCTCTAGTCCCACCTGCTCCTAACATGCTATTTGCAGGCCAGCAGGCAGTTAGCACAAACACATAACTGTGTTCGCTCTTCTGGCAAATTACAACAGCCTGGGTTAGGCTGATGATCTGGGTCATGGCAGGCTCTTGGTGGCCTTTTCTCACCTCCTGCTTACCTTTGACAGGCAGATCCATCATGCAGAATGGGGTGCCCCGGACCAGCACTTCTTGCATGATGATGGCAAAGCTATAGACATCTCCTGCAAAAGAACCTAACATGCTGCCCTTTGGGGTTCTCAACAGTTCAGGGCTGTCCATAGCAACTCTGAAATGAAAGCATTGTTTTAAGAATGCAGGGAGGATTAACTGGCAGCCTTTGCAATGCCCTCAAGGGTTCCAATGGCGCTGTTTCATTGACTGCTTTATATTTTTATTAGACTGACTGGCATGCTAGTCCCCCCCCAACCCCGGGGTCCAAATCTATGAATCTAAGAAACTGTGCATAGAGAAAGCATACTACTCTCCCCACTCCAGAACCATGCAGGCAGACACAGCAGAGGTGTGGAGCAGGGCAGAAAAGCTTGAAGTAGAAAAACTATCTGACACTTGCTTTCTTGTTCTCTTGAGCCTGCAAGTAGCAATTGGCAGGCTTCCAGAGAAAGGCAAGTACACAGCCACTCCGGTTGCCATGGATTTGCTGTTGAGATCTATATGTGTCTGGTAATTTGATTGTGCTCGGGCTTGGGAATTCACAAGTTGCTTTCTCCAGGTCTTCTCTAAGAGGATTTGAGGATCTCTAGGCCTCCTCTATACCTCACAGAGCAAAAAGATGCAACAATTCCTTCAAGTCAGTTCTACAAATATTTATTGATGGTATACTACGTACTGGATACTACGCTAGGTGCAGGAATGGTGCCAGAGTTGAATTAGACCTTGCCTCTGCCCTTATACGGTTCACAGAGTAATGGGCAGCATAGACATGTGATCCCCTAACTGCAATATGTGGCAGGACTACTTAAGTTAATGTATGAAGAAATACACACTGGGACACCTGGTTGGCTCAGTCAGTTGAGCATCTGATTCTTGGTTTCAGCTCAGGTTGTGATCTCAGGGTCATGAGATAGAGCTCCCCACCCTCTACCACTGTCAGACTCCATGCTCTGCAAGAAGTCTGCTTGAGATTCTCTCCCTCTCCCTCTGCCCCTCTCTCCACTCATGTCTCTCTCTCTCTCTCTCTCTCCCCTTCTTTCTTTGAAATAAATAAATAAATAAATACATAAAACACATTTGTAATATAAATGCAGTAGTCAAAATTTTACATGGAATCATACAAAATTGCCATTTCTGTGGGTAAAAATGGTTGATATTGACAATTCCATGAGGCTCAAACTTAAAAAAAAAAGAGAGAGAGAGAAAACTGAGCTGATCATATTAATCCAGGAAAACTTCCTGAAAAAGATCTTAAAGGAGCTTTTTAAAAAAGTCAAGGATGCAGGTTCCTAGAGCTGAGAGGGTAAGGGCTTTGCAGGGAGAAAGAACAGTACGTGCAAAAGAACAAGAAGTAGAAAGGAGCAAATTGCAGATGGGGGTGGTGGTAAGCAGATTAGCTTGGCTGAAGAGAAGGGCTCTGTTAAGGAATAATGAGAAATGAGAAATGGGGTTGATGAAGTGGGGGAGGGACGGTGGCTAGAAGAATGAGGGCAGAAGGTGAGAGGCCCTGAAAGCCAAATGAAGGCATTTGGAGTGAATACAAAAGGCAGTAGGGGTTCGGGAGCTGGAGAGAGATTTGATGAAAGCTGTGTTCGGAAGATTAATCTGGCAACCTGCACAAGCTGGACTGAAGGAGAGAGGCTGAAGTCAGGGAGACCAGCTCGGAAGTCATTACAGTAGGAGCCAGAGGCCAGGTGAAAGGGGCCTGAATAGGGGTGGGGGTGGCAGCAGGAGAACAGGGAACAAGATACACAGGAAGGCTATAATGAAGAAGTTAGTGACAGGGCTGGGGATGGACTCAATGTGGTCCTTGGAGGGGAAAGTTTTGGAGGAAACAAGGGGTGGAAGTCCAGAAAGGAAGGCTGGAAAACAGTGTCTGCTGAGGGCAGGGGTGGTGGGAGGAAAGTGCTAGCTAACTTTTCATCTTGTTAACTTAGGTATTGGGAAGGGACCCCAGGGGACAAGCTTCTGTGAAGCAGGAAGGAGGATGGAAAGGTCAGAGATTATTCTGGTGTGTTAGTGAAACCCAGGAAAGAAAATTCACCTTGGAAATTCCAAAGTTGAGCCAATCCTCATCAAAATGGTAGAACAGGGATTTCTAGCCTCACCCCCAATCATGTACTCATCTTCTCTCTTTGTCCTCCAGGTATCCCCAGTCTTTGTCACACACCACCCCCCACACACTCTCCTCCCCCCAGGGAAGTGTCTGATATACTCACTAGAGTGGTTTTGCCTTTTTGCCTTCTTACCTAGTAGGACTTAATATTTGCAAAGAAGACCCAAAGAGACTGAAAGTTACTTTGGTCAAAGGAATGCATTTCTGATTGTGGGATTTCTGGAATACCTTCCTGATATGGTTTGGAGGGAGGGCAGGAGGGTTATCTCAGAGCAAGAAAAATGCAGCTGTTTCTTCTGCTATCCTCTCTCCTACACATTTAAAAGCATAAAAAGGGAAAAGAAGACAAAACTCTCCAGTAAAAAGCTGGGTGATTAAATACAATCATTACCAAACAGTATTTTCAAAGAGCACTTACATGTATGTTGTTAATGGCCAAAATGAGACTTTATTTGCACCATACTTATGTAATTGAAAGTGTAATTGACAGTAATGAATACACTTAGGACCCACCCCTATTTCCCCATCTCCACTCTCAAGTAAGATCCACTACCTACCATTAGACTTGAACTCTCAGGGAAACTAGAAAAATTACTTTGGCTTGTTTTGCATCCGCTGATGCCACTACCGACTCTGAGCCTTGCCATGGTGATAAAAATCAACTGTGGAGAGCCAGTGTGGTGAAGTGCAAAAGAACAGAAAACTCAAAGTCAAGAGACAAAAGTTCAAAATCTTAGTTTGGTCACTAAGTGGCTCACCTTACAGAACCTCTGCTTCCCCATCTGTAAAATGGACATTGAGTCAGATGATTTGCAAGAGCCCCCCAATTATAAGATTTTATTAGCCCTGTCATCTAAGGAGGAAGCAGCAAGTTTCCTTATTTCATTTTAGTACATCCATCTGCCGAGTCACCAAACATTTATTCTGCCAGGTATGGTGAAAGGCACTGAGGGAGGCAAGCCTGTTTCTTGCCTTTGCAGAGCTTTTAAGTTGAGTTGGGAGAGAAGACAGCTAATTAAACATGTAATACCAACAAAGTATGGAATTACAACAAAGTTCAAAGCCCTAAGGATCATAAAGAGGGAAACTTTGCTGAGCATAGAGGGTCATGGAAAGTCTCTTATTGAATCAGTGGTATTTAAGTTTAGCTCTGAAGAAGGAGTAGAATCTAGCCAGACTCAGAGGAGTTTATAACAGAGTGGGAAAGGAAGAGTGTCCCAAGGGATGGGCAAAGCACGTGTAAAGGTCTGAGAGTAAGAGAGAACCTGGGGTAAATAAACAACTGGCAGGAGTTCAGCACTGCTAGAGCCCAGAGATGGAGGGGGAGTGATTAAGCAGGAGAGGTCCACAAGGCCCAAACCACACAGGGCTCATAAGCCATGTAAGGAAATTTGAACTTTATCCTAAGAGCAATGGGAAGTCATTCAGTGAATTTTGGCACAGCTCTAGCATGATCAGATTTGCAGTTGAGAAAATTCACTCTGGCTGCTGTGTGTGAAGAATGGATTGAGCATCCAGACTGCCATTGCAATTTGGAGAGTGAAATGACACAGTAAGAAGGAGAGACAGAGCAAGAGACAGGGTACACACACACACACACACACACACACACACACACACCCATCCTTTCCCCACTCTAAGACCAGAGTTTCTTAAGTTTGCAAGTTGCCAGCCTGTGAATTAAGTGGAACTCCGGGAAGATGGGCATTGTGTTTTAGCTTTTAGAGATGACTCATCTTGACAGGAAGCTAAGTACTTGCTGATCTGCAGCTACTGTCCCCGACATCCTAGCATTAATACCAGGCAACTACTCCAAACTTTCAAATTGGAATTAGCCAAACAATAACCATAAGACTAAGTTGGCAGCAAGCACAGGTCCACAGAAGTTGTAATTTAGCTGCATGTAGGGGCCAGTCTTCAAAAGACCTGAATCAAATTCCTGGAACTGCTGCTAAGTAGCTGTAGGACTGGGGCAAATCGTGAGCCTCACTTTATCTCATCTGTAAAATGAAAGAGTTGGACTAGATGCCTCCCTAACGTTCAATATTCAGCAAGTTTTATAAAGCACAAAGATACCACCACTGATAACTGGGCTCTCTTGTCTGCATCTACCCATATGTCTCTCTGTATCTTTCAGTGTTTGTTTCTCTTACATCGCAGTTTTAAAACTAACACTGCCAAAGATTCTTTTAAAAAATATACGTTGTAATTTTCATCTGTCCCTCTGTCTCTTTTTTTGGTTTGCCTGTTTCTGTTTTTATGTCCCTCTCTCCTTCACCCTTGCAATGCTAGCTAAAAATTTTAATGCCCAAACTTCCTCTATGTATTTAATTCTACTCATTCTCTCTCCTTACTCTTTCTTTTTCTTACTTCCTCTTTTCCGTCAGCTCATTCCTTCCTATTTCTCACTCACCCATTCCCAATTCCTCATCGCAGATTTCTCCCACTTCTTTGATCTGTTATGACCTCTACAGGCATTGTTTGGTGCAGCCACTAGGGCGCTAAATATAAGACAGAAAATACCAAATGCGCATTATGGGCATGCCTACTTATCTAAGTAGAAGGCCACAGTTCTGTCTGAAGCCATCCCAGGCAACCCATAGAGTATTTACTTGCTGGGACCCCCCTCCTCCTCCTCACTTCTTTCTCTTTGACAGAGACAGTAAGGGTAGGCTCTAGTGACATCCCATTCCAGAATGTGCTTTGTGGGGTCCAGCTACCAAATTACCTTCCATTCAATCTGACAAGTATTTATTGAGCACCTACTGTGTGCTTATCGCTCAGCAAGTTCCTCCAGAGACTCCTGGGGTCTCCAAACAATACAACCTAATCCTGCCACAGCGGGAACTCAACATTATTGCACTGGCTTTGTTCTAAAGGTTAGGCTGTGCTGAGATTACAGCCTGCGGACTTCATTCAACTCCTTTGGCTTGGAAATGAGGCTGAATTTTCAACAAAAGTGGGGAGTTGAATCAGCCTGAGGCTTTAATTCAGTGCATACTCTCATTTGAATTTTGGAGTTACCTTGAGTACGTCAGAAGATTATAATAATACATTGCTTACCTTCCGCAGAAGGTTCCTCTTGGGAGACTTAGAGTTTCCAAGATGTCATTAAAGCCATAATCTGTCACTTTTAGTACAAAACACCCATCTACCACACAGTTCCGAGATTTCAACCTCCCATGAGCAAACTCTCCGTGGTGTAAGTACTTCATGCCCTGCAGATACAAATAGGATTTATTTAGTAACTTCTTTAACTATTTTGTGCTTTTAAGGGCAATTTCTGAGCTTGTTAATGGCATGAGCTATTATGGGCCAGAATTCAGCCCCTTTTTTCCTTATATGCAGGCAAAGCAAAACTGTAACAACAAGAAATATTTCCGGGTCCTTTCCAGCTCTAAGATTTTATGCTTTTGATGAAGAATCATATCTTGTATGTCTAGAGAATGGTATGCTATTGGGAGATTTATTAACATTTCAAACATAGGATGGATCCATACATATGTAATTTCCAAGAACTGGAAGATTCTGATTTTCTCCCCTAAAGATCTAGTTCAACTTTCATTCACTGTTGGAAGAAATGGAAATTGGTATGTCCTTTTTGGTGGACAGTTTGGCAGTAGATATCAAAATTGAAAGCATTCATACCCTGTGACCTAGGGATTGTGCTTCGTCTCTAAAGAAATGCTTGTACATCTGCACAAGGAGACATACACAAGAATGCTCAAGGCAACTATGCTTTACAATATTATATAATTAAAATACAATAAGTATCTGTCAAGAAGGGACTGTCCAAATTATGTTGCATATGAACTATGCAATATTCTGCAGCAGTTAAAAATAATAAAATAGATCTGTATGTACTAACAGGGAGTCATGGCTAAGCCATAAAGTAAGTGAAAAATGAAAAGGTGCAAAACTATATAACAGTATGTATTTTAAAAAACAAAATCTATAATGTATGTAAATATACATGAAATGAATTGCTAGGTTAATCACCAAATTGTTAGCAATGGTTAACTGTGGGGGAGGATGTGAAAGAGGGTTGAGTAAATATTAATATTTTTCTGTATATATTTATATCATTTGATTTTTAAGTTTAATTTAATACATTACTTTTGTAATTAAAAGTAGGTAATTAAAAAGAGGAAAGCTGAATACTGCTGATCTCTGCAGCTTGCTTTATATAACATTCAAATGTGATCTACAGGGACTCTTTTCAGATGGGTTTACTCATTCACATATAAATACAATTCATGTTCTAGTGTAATCATCTCAGAACTGTTTATGCTGAGCCCTTTTAAGTATCTGGCTCTATTTTGTGGCCTGACACCCCTCTGTATTTGTATGCTTTACATCTTGTGCCCTCAGAAATTCTGAAGTTGCCAGTACTCCCAAGCCTAGTCTGCAGAGGGTGAGATTTCCCCTGGGGATTGTCTAATGTTTGGGTTTCATTCATCATGGTCCTGAGAGGACTGTCATTTAGAGCCTTCTCCCTTAAGTCATGGGACCTTGTTGATAGGATGAGTGGAAAGAGTACTAGAATTGAAATCAGGAGATTTGGATTCTATTATCAGCTCTGCCACTTAATAGTTGGCTAATAAATATTTATTGAGCACTTACTATGTATGGCAGACACTATAAAACAAAATGTACCTCATTTAGCTTCTCTGAGCCTCTGTAAAAGGAGGCTAATCGTACTTATTTTATGGAGAATTGGAATGAGATAATGTCTATAAAGCTACCTTGAAAAGGGTTAGGCCATAGTATAAAGGTTAAGACTGTGGTCAATATGCAAGAAGCTCAGCAAGTCATTGATTAACCAGTTCAACCCCATAAAGATGCACATGGACACAATTTGCATATTATTCCCAGGAGTTCATGGACTCCACCAAAGCCCATCCATAGACCCATCCATGAACCCCTCTGACTCTCAGTAGTCCTTGCCTCAGAGAATGGAAGTTCTTCCTGATAGAGCCTATGGTCTTCTGGCTTTCTGGTCATGCTGAGTTCCACAGTTATACCTATGATGTGCAAAGACTTATCCCTTAGTTCTAGACTGAACCACCTTTTAGAAGGTGAAAACCAGGAGATGAGGCTAAGCAGCGTCAAAAGATCTGGGAATGAACACTTTTCTACATCCAGAAAGCAGAGAAATGGAATGGAAGGAAAGGTTGCTTAAGGGGAAGAGTGCTCAATGGCAACAGAAAGTAAGGACAAATCTGGCCCTCAAACTGGGAGTAAAGAGTGGGGCAAGTAAGTCCCTTCTATATCAGTACCTTATAACAGATATGGACAAAGGGACTATGAGAAGGGCTAGGGGGCAGACCCTAGGAAGGAACTTGGAAGAATGAGATCATCACAATGATCCAAGGAAAATTAAATACCCAAAACTTTTAAATTCTAATCTACAGGGAAAATCCAAGATTTCCTCAGTCTTTTTATTAACCTTGAAAAGATCCAGCAGAAGTGATGATTTAAATATCCAGTCAAGTTTCACATCCTGATTTGTCAATATGTCTTCTAGGCTCCTTCTGGAACAGAATTCTGTCACAATGGCAAATATCCCTGAATCATAGAAGAAGCCCAATAAAGGGTTAATATTTTCATGATGCAGGTCCTTCATCTGGAAATAGAGGGAAAGAGGAAAGTCACAACTGTCCTATCACAATTGGGAACCAAAGTTTAGGGCACATACCCTTCTCTTCATCCTTCCTGTGACTGCTTACTGTGAAAAGCTGAATTTTGGTCCCCATGATCTCCAATCTCTAATGTTAGTCCTGTGATTATTATGTTTTGTGGCAAAAGGGAGATAATTCAGATAGGCTTAATCTGATTATATGAGCTCTTCAAATCAGAAGAGGAGGGAGGAGAAGAAGTCAGAGAGATTCAAAGTGTAAGGACTCAACACTCCATTGTTGGCTTTGAAGCTGGAGGAAGGAGGCTAGAAGCCAAGGACTGTGGGCAGCCTCTAGTAGCTGGAAACAGCTCTCAGATAACAGCCAGCAAGGAAATGAGGTCTTCAGTCCTACAGCTGTACAAAACGAAATTCTGCTGATAACCTGACTGACCCTAGAAGTGACTTCCCCCCAGAGACTCCAAATAAGAGCCCAGAGTGACTGACACCTTGACTTTATCCTTATGTGACACTAAGTGGAACACCCAGCTGATCCCACTTAGACTTCTGATCTACAGAACAGTGAGATAATAAATGGGTGTTGTTTTAAGCCTATGTTTGTGCTACTTTGGTATGGCGATAAAAGTTCTACTCACCAATTCCACTGTGTGGGGGAAGGGGTTCCCCACACAAGCAAGCAACTCTCCTACACCAGCTGGATGTCCTATAATTCAACTCAATTCTAACACTATCTACCTGGAGATAGCATCAGATTCCACAGGTTAAGGGTTCAGTCCTACAAGACTGCTCCCCCATACACACTTCAGACACCAGTCACAAGTCCAAGTCCCCTGGGCTTTTACAAACCAGTTATAGACTGAAGGTTCTAATGACCCTCACCTTGGGTTTGATTAATTTGCTAGAGTGGCTCACAAAATTCATAGAAATATTTACTTACTAGATTACCAGTTTATTATAAAAGGATATAATTCAGGAACAGTTAGATGGAAGAGATGCGTAGGACAAGATATGGGGGAAAGGTGTGGAGCTTCCATGACCTCTCTAAACGTGTGCCACTCTCCCCAAATCTCTATGTGTTCACCAACCTAGAAGCTCTCCAAATTCTCTCCTTTGAAGTTTTTATGAAGGCCTCATTACATAGAGGTGATTGATTAAATCATTGGTCATCCGCAGAGTCAACCTTCAGTCCCTCTCCCCTCCCTAGTAGTCAGGGGTGTGGGACTGAAAGCGCCAAATCTTCTTTTTTTTTTAAGATTTTATTTATTTATTTGACAGAGATCACAAGTAGGCAGAGAGGCAGGCAGAGAGAGAGGTGGAGGCAGGCTCCCTGCGGAGCAGAGAGCCAGATGCGGGGCTGGATGCGGGGCTGGATGCGGGGCTCGATCCCAGGACCCTGGGATCATGACCTGAGCTGAAGGCAGAGGCTTAACCCACTGAGCCACCCAGGCGCCCCAATTGCCAAATCTTCTAATCATGTGGTGGGTTTTCAGGCAACTAACTAGCTCCCATCCTTAGGTGTGGTCCAAATCTCATTAACATAACAAAAGACACTTTTACTACTCTCCCCACTTAGGAAATTCTAAGGGTTTTAGGAGCTCTGTGCTAGAAATACTGATGAAGAATATATATATATATATACATATATATATATATATAATAAATAGGTGGGTGTTGTTTTATATATAGTATATATATAGTAATACATATTACTATATATATTACTATAAATCACAATATCATAGGCAGTGATAGAAAATTAATGCAATGGTCAAAAGGGGAGATTTTAGAGAGAGATCTCTGTTGGCATATTAAGTGAATGCTAAGGTTGTGGCCTTCATCCTGACTCTTTGGGGACTCTGAAATGGAGCTTGGTGAGCCAGGAGAACTAAAGAAGTTTAATACAATGAAAGGTGGAATAGATTGTCTATTTGTGAATATTTATTAAAATAAATAGCTTACATAAACATCAGGCCAAAATCTTCAAAATTTGTTTCAGAAGAAACATCTACAGTTTTGACTCCATTTTCCCTTGCATCATTAATTTTTTCACTAAGCAAGAAGCATTTAGTATGTACCCACAATGTCCACGGAACTGGACTGCATGCTAGAGATACAGAGTTAAACAAAATGAAATGTAGTACAAAATTACAGCTGTCAGCTTATTTGTCTATCACTCCCCCTTTGAATATGAACTCTTTTAGGACAGTAATCACTGAAAATGTTATAAATACCGGAGAAGTAAGATAAAGATGAAGAGAGAAGAGTGTTTGATTAATTTGACCAGTAATAAATTGTTAATTATAGAAACAACCTATAAATATGTTTACACCGACATACAAATATATATACACACACATGCTCACATATATATACACAAATTTTATATATATATATTTTTATGTGGGAAATAAGGGAAAGGGTTAAATCACATATTATTCTATTCTGAGCATTGAGAGCATAATGGAACATAAACTGAGATGGAGTGCACTGGCTTAGAATATGAACTTACTTCTCCAACAGGGGGTTCCAAGCTGAGGTTTAATTTCTCCCTGGTGCGAATGGCAGCTATTGACCGTTAAAGCTGCCTTTCAAGGGGTGCCTGGGTGGCTCAGTGGGTTAAAGCCTCTGCCTTTAGATAAGGTCATGATCCCAGGGTCCTGGGATCGAGCCCTGCTTCAGGCTCTCTGCTCAGCAGGGAGCCTGCTTCCTCCTTTCTCTCTCTCTGCCTGCCTCTCTGCCTACTTGTGATCTCTGTCTGTCAAATAAATAAATAAAATCTTTAAAAAAAAAAAGCTGCCTTTTAAGCATAAAAGCCTGACACCCATTACAAGTCACTTAGTCCACTGCAGCTTAAACCAGCTAAGGAGGACATGTAAATTCAGCCCACACATAACAAAGTGGGCACTTACTATGAAGGTTTTATTGTGCCATCTCTTAGGAAACAAGCAGCAAAAACTATTGGGTTCTAAACTTCTTTTGGAAGACAGAATACAAAGTTAGGTCTGTTGGCTGCCCAACACAAATCTATTTCCCTTCTTATTGGGAAAACAACTAGTCCACATTTTACAGCTTCCCTTGGACCTAAGTATAGCCATAGGACTGACTTTCAAGCAGTGAAATGTAAGAGGAAGTAATACATGCTCTTTCTAGGTTAAGGCTTTTAAGAAGTAAATACATGCTTTTCGTGTTATTTTTCACTTGTATAGAGGAATGCAGATGATGACAGGGTCCTAGGAGAGGGTAGAGCCATAAAATGGTTATATCCTGGGTCCCTGAATCCCTATATTGGAAAGAAGTCACCTGCTAACAAAGAACAACTACCTTGTACTGTTATTTGGATGAAAATTAAACTTCTGCTGTGTTTGAGACATTAAATATTTGAGACATAAATATTTATTACAGAATCTAGCTTTACACTAGCGGCCCTAGCATGTAAAACGTTCAGGTTTTCCCTAGATCTTTACAGTCCTATGTCCTCAGCTACAACTGTCATATGTCCTCAGCTACAATCAATAGAGAAGACCCCATTCCAGGTAGATACCTACATTCAGTCATGTGCTACTGATATTTTGGACAATGCCAGGAAGCAGAGAATGTTTGGAATATACCCTTTTTAGTAAGACAGTCATCTGAACATTTACTGGGTAGGCATGTACTTCACCCCTTCAATAAAATAGTCATCATCAAATGTTCAAGAGTTAAATTGTCCTGTCTCCCAAGATGTTTGTTAGTACTATTTCTGACATGAAACCTTTAAGCATACAATCACCAGAGGAACATGCTCCTGAATCAAGCATTAGCTTAAGTGATCTTAAAGAGGTCTTCAACTGCTTGACAATGTTTCTGGGACATTGTAACATCAGAAGAATTCCTACTTGCACTGCAGCTGCAATACCATCCTAGTGGCAGGTATGGACCCTTATCAAAATTTAATTCTCCCTACCAGTGCCTGCCATTGCTATATCAGCAATTGCTACCTATTTTGGCAATAAGATTTTTACCTCCATGGACTAACTGGCTGCTATGTCTTTTCCTCTATTTCATTTTGTTTTGTTTTGTTGTAGAGAACTATTATTCAAGACCTCCTACCCTTGTATCAATCTATTCACTCTTTTTTAAAATTTAATTTAATTTTATATTTTTGGTGTTCCAAAATTTACTGTTTATGCACCACACCCAACAATCTATTCACTCTTTACCACCCAGAGGTCAGTGGTCATATAGAACATATTAACCAGGTACTAGTGGAAGATTTCTGATGTTATGTTTCCTGCCAGTAATACTTCATCAATTTAACAAACATGTATTGAATATCTTACTATATGTTAGGTCCTGAGGTAAGGGTTGGCAAGACAAATGGTGAACAAAATAGTATATGGTCCTTAACTTCTTAATTTAAATAATTTTACATGAAGAAATGTAAACTTGTGGGGTGCCTTGGTGGCTCAGTACTTTAAGCGTCTGCCTTTGGCTCAGGTCATGATTCCAGGATCCTGGAATTCAGTCCCATATCAGGCTCTTTGCTCTGTGGAGAACCTGCTTCTCCCTCTCCCTCTACCTCCTGCTCCCCCTGCTTGTGCTCTCTCTCTCTCTCTCTCTGTGTGTCAAATAAATAAAATCTTAAAAAAAAAAAAAAAGAAATGCAAACTTGCAACTCTGACAAGCCCTGTAAAGGAGAGGCACATAATGTAAGTATGTATAATTGGGGCTATGACCAATCAGAAAAGTTGAGGAAGGTTCCTGGGAAGTGAGAATTGAGCTGGGAGTTAAAAGATAAGTGGAATTAACCAGGTAAAGAAGGGAGAGAAAAGTATTCCAGAGACTGGAAGAGCATGTGAAAAGGCTCTGTGCTGGGAGTATATCACAGTCCAAAGACAGAAAAAAAAAAATCCAGTACGTCTGATGCAGAGAGGGTAAGGGAAATATTGTGGTATGAGATAAGGCTGAAGAGGCAGGGCAGAGCCAGACCCTAAAGGCTCTAATAGACC